CTAAGCCATTTATCTCTCTGTCCTTCAGTTAATCCCACTTGTGTTTATCGGCCAGGCTGGCACAATAAACTATCTCAGAGATGGTGCAGGAGGAGGCCATGCTTCGCTGTATCAGACATAAGGTCACTCACTGTGAGTTCGAGTTGACTCAATGACAACAAATAAAGACAACCATCCTGCAGTGCCTTCTGTCAAGAAGCTTGACGACTTGAGCCAATCTAAAGAAGTGGCCATCTTCATCAGTTCTGGCCAGGTTAACAGCATTACTAGGGGGGACTCTCTGGCAGACACCAAGATATCAGTGAGCCCTCACCTTGCCCTTGAAGGAGCTTCTCCCTCTAGCAGAGAGGGCTAAGAACCAAAATCACAGGTGCCTCTTGTGCTTACCTTCCTGACTATTAATTTCACTATTTACAATAATAAAATTCAATAGGTCCCAAGCACTAGAAAAATATTTTCTTCCCATGAAGACTTGATTAATTTTCCCCTCTTGACAAAGTGACTATGTGATTTATTTTGTTTCCCTTTGAGCTTTGCCACTGGAAACTTTGGTATTAATTTTACTGACCAACTATATCCCAAGGGCAAATACTTAATGGCATATTTATTCATGTACTGTCTACCCCACCTTAACTCACATTGTAATACACATTTTCCTTGGCCCTAATGTGCTTCTGTTATGGAATATCTCAGGGAAATGAGTCAAGCCTACACTTTGCAGTTCAACCGCCATCATGACAGGACAAAACTCTGTCCAGTCCTGTACCATCCCCATGATCAGCTGAAGATGAGATCGTTGTTGGCCAAAGACTGATGTTTAAAGTAGATCACCAGGCCTTTCTTCCTAGCCTGGAGTCAGTTCAGCATAATAGCAGCCTGCAAGCCTCTACTGACAGACAGATGATGGTTGGACAGGGGCTAAGGAATTGAATCGGGATCTCTGGCACAAAAAGCAAGAATTCTACGTGAACCACCACTGCTTCATTTTGAGGACCTACCCTGTTCCGAGCACTTCACGATGTTCGGTGCCAATGTGCTCCTTCCTCACGTCATCCGACTACCTAATTATAGACATCTACCTAATTACAGACATCTACCTAATTACAGACATCTTCATCTTACAGGTTCGCACTCAGAGAAATAAAAGAACACATTTAAAGCCTATTCCAAAACCCAAACTCTTTGCACTACGATTGCATTGTTAGCGATCATTAATAACAAGCTTCCATTCAAACCTTCATACTATCATTCAAGATATTTCTATGTTCTTCTGACACGTATCTTGTGAAGGAGGTAAGGTGAATATTTTTAATAGCTTATTTTCCAGATGAGACACAGAGATGCTGTTAGAATTAGTGCCTGTCTCAGAGTTGCTTAGTAGTTAAATTGAAGGGTTTATTAAACAAGAACAGACTAGTTCTCTCTGTGCAAGATTTATTTAAGGTGGGGGGGGGGGGCAGGGGATAAAGGGAGCCACTTCTTTAATTTATTTAATGCATTTGAAAGCCACTGAACTAGTCCATTGGAGCATAGATGTAGAGCCCCCTACAGAATGACTCACCAATCATCTTCAACCTTCCTATCCTATCCATGAGCAGCGCCGAAATAATGTTCCCAGGCAAAACAGACAGGCTGCCGAGGAAGCTGACCAGGTAAATCAGGAAATCGTTGTCTTGCTCAAAGTCCATGTGGCAGCCCTTTTTCGACTCCAGGAAGGTGGAGTTGATAAGCCGACAGTTGATAAACTTGTGTTCATAGAGGTCTATGGAGAAAAAAAATCTTTGGTCGATGAACATGGAATGTGGACCGGGTCTGGGATGACATTAGGCTTTTAGCAATCAGACAGAATCAAAAATAAAGGTACCTATATACTCCAGTACAAGCCCAGGTGCCTAATTTGACCACACAAAAGCTACAGGGCTTTTTCAGCATAAACAATGTGCTGAAAAACTCAGCTTATACTCGAGTATATATGGTAAACTGCAGCCAGCTAGGAATGAATACAAAAATGGCTACAATGGTAATAACCTGTTTGTTTCTATAAGTAAAGGGAAAGGAAACTAACATTAATTGAGAGGCTCTTTGAAATATATTAATCCTCAAAGCTGGGCAAGACTCTTGCTTGTACCAATGAGGTGGTCCCTGGGCTACACCGGCTTGGCCTCTCCTCAGTGGCTACTCAGCTTATATAGAGAAAAAGAAAGGAAGGTGAAAATCTAACCAACCACTGGAGAGCCCTTGCAAAAATCGGAACATTGTTTAAAAATTACCAACTATCTGGTTAGAACGTATTTCCATTCTTCTGGCATCTTCTAAGAACAGATGCTCTAGCAGAATGTAGAAGCAGGCCCTCAGGACATCTGCACTTGGGGAGCTGGCACCCTGCTGACCTTCTCTAAACGCCATGAGACTTCCCTTCTAAGATTAGAGGAGTGGACCTAATGATCTCTATGCTTCGCTGAGATCTGGTAGCTTACAGTTTAGAAGCATTTGCAAAACGCCCCCATGCACAGAGTGTACAAATGGAAAGGCAGCGTTAAGGCTCATGAAGAGACAACAAAAAAGAATGCTGGTTCTTGGAGATTAACTTAGGGAATTCATTTCTATTATTTTAAGTTCAAGTCAAAGAGAAATACAGAAAGGCAAGTCCTGTATGGCATTATTCAGGAACAGAGGAGCCCTGAATGGGAGCTTTGGAAGTTAACATCACCGAGTAGGAGGATATTCTTGGGCAAACCATCCCTCGGGGTAGATATTTGGGAGGAGGAAGCACATGTCTGCACAGAATGCAAGTAGCTGAGTGGAAAGATCAAAGCAGTAGACTAAACGATGCAGGGATCCATCCAAACTTCCAAACTGGCCAACTCATACGTAACACCTCAAGATCCAAGAGCAGCACAATTCTTCTTGAGACAACGTAGGGAAGCTAATGGGAACACCCAGTTATTTTCTTATTTTCCAACTCCACATGTGCAAGCGCAATCGCAGTAACGAAGAACAGGGAGAGGTGTTTTACAATTATTTTAGTCACAGGAGTTTTAAACGGTGTGATTTTAAAATATTAACATCATCTCACTTTATGCACAAAATTTTAAGAGATGAGCATTTTTCTTTTGGTTTATTAATGTGGGAAGGTAATTCTTGAATTTTCTGAGTTTCTCATTATCCCAAGCCTTTAAGATTTTTTTTTTTTACTTTGCATAACACTTTACTTCTACCAAGGACCCTCGGCATGTAGCATCATTCTCATTGAAATCCCAACATCTGCTCAGAACCTTTGCTTCCTTTTACTATTTGATAAAACTGAGATGTAGATAAATTATGTGTTTTGACCAAATCTGTACACTAACATACATCACATTGGGGGTTAGAACCCATAACTTTTTCCATACTAGAGTTTAGTCCTCATTGCCATTGAGTTTATTTGGATTCACAGCGACCCTATAGAGCAGGGTAAAACTGCCTCTGTGAGTTTCCAAGACTATAATTTTTTATGGAGAATAAAAAGCCTCATTGTTCTCCTGAGGAGTCATTGGTGGTTTCGAACTGCTGGACTCACAGTTAGCAACTCCATGTGGAACCACTACACCACCAGGGTTCCTCGGGGTTTAGTCCTACTATCTACTTATACTTTCTTAATCCTAAAGTATTTCCGAGGCCTTTGATTCTTTGTGATGAGTCTGCCCTTGTGACAAGTCTACTGAGCCATAGCAGTTCCATGTTCTTACCTGTGTTGTAAAACAGGGTTGATTCGATGGTGCAGTTTTTGAAATAGGTATCTGTAGATGTAACATCTTCAAAATAGCACTCATCAAAAAACGTGTTCTCAAAAAGCACGTGTTTAAAGTACATCTTCGTGAACCTGTGGAAAAGACATTAGCTCCTGAGTGGTTTTTCCAAGGAAGAGGGAGATTTGAGACAAAAATGGAGAACACAGAAAGGTAGAGAGTGGAGAGCTGCCAGCCAAAAGATGTTAGAACATTACTTAAACCCCAGTTTGCCATTTCTCAGGCGTGGGTTCCTAGTGGAGAAGGACTTCAGGGCTGTGGAGGCTAGTATCTAGGTGTTTAAAAGAAAGAGTTGTCAATCCCAACTGACTGTGAGACTTTGTGTGTCGTGGTAGAATGCTGTACCGCAAGGTTTTCAATAGCTAATTTTTCAGAGGAACATTGCCAGACCTTTTTCCCAAGATGCCCCTGGGCAGACTTGAACCTCCGAACTCTTGCTTAATGCTGAGTGTGTTAACCGCTAGCACCACCCAGGGATTCCAGTCCAGGTACATATGAGACACTGTGCACTAGCTTTGGAGTTCCAAATGTAGGTCCACAGACTTTCTGCATCAGATTCAGAAAAATGTGAAATGGTGTGATATGAAAATATTAACAACATTTCATTTTACAGAGAGCTATCAAAACATGCAGATTTCTGGGCTTGCCCTGAGAGGTTTAAAAGACAAGTATTTTCAGAGATCCTTCATTTTAAAAACAACAACCAAAAAAAAACCCTCACCAACAAACTCACTACCTTTGAGTCAGTTCTAATTCATAGCAGCCCTATAAGATGGAGTAGAACTGCTTTATAGGTTTTCCAAGGCTGTAAATCTTTAGAGAAAATGTCTACCTCAGCTTCCTCTCATGGAGCATCCAGACTGATGGACTTAAGCAGCCACCATTTAATTAGCAACTGGATGCTTTCCTTTCTGCTCCCCCAGGGCTCCTCTTCCCAACAAGGCAGACCATTCCATCTGTTGGTGGACTATAATTGGTGCAGTGTCTTTGGAAGGCAATCTGGAAAATGCATATGCCCTTTTACCTAGGGATATGACATCTAGGAATTTATCCTACACCTATGCTTGCTCATGTATGTAAAGAGACATATGGGTTGCTTATATTACTTCTGACATTATTCATGAAAGCAATGGAATCGCTCTCTCACACTCATCAAGTTGATCTCAACTCATGGTGACCCAATAGGACAGGGTAGGACATCCTCTGTGGATTCCAGGAGCTATAAATCTTTATGGTTTCTCCCAAGGAGTCGTTTGAACTAACAGCCTTGTAGCCTACTTTGGATTTTTATATACAGATAGATCACATAGATGTAGATATACCTGGGGATAGAGATATACATGTATACCTATCCATAAATAAAAGATAAGAATTCCTGGTGGTGCAATGCATTCCACATTGGGTTGATAACCACAAGGTCGGCAGTTCAAACCCCCACTGGGGAAAGGTGAGGATTCCTTCTCCCATAGAGTGACAGTCCCAGAAACCCACAGGGGCAGTTCTACCTAGTTCTGTATGGTTGCTATGAGTCAGAATCAACTAATGGGAAGTGAGTGTGAGCTGTGACAAAACACAGATGCATAGATGTGTGCATATCCTTACAATAGAAAACCTACATAGCCATTATAGAGGTAGGTATATGTGTGCAAAATACGGGGCAATCTGCAAGATACATTGTTAATTATAAAAATATCAAGATGAAATGGGATCTTTATAGCCAGTAACCTTATAGCAGAAAAGGTACTGTACCTATATTTCCAAATGTAGACGCTGCATTTGCAGAGTTGCACAAGAAATTGGCAGACGTGTTTGCCTTGGAGAAGGGGGCATGTAATGAAACTTAGGAACAAAATAACTTTATTTTCACTTTATTCCAAATGCATGTATTCCTTTTATTTTAAAAGGAAATTAACGAATAAAGGGGAGTGGGGAAGCACCGGGACGACTCTGAGGTGCAGGCACATTTTGGGAACTTCCATCTACTCTAACTACTGCATAAACTTCAAGGGGAAGAACCACATTACATTTGAAAACACACGTACATTAACATCATTCTCTGTTGGACATATTTGCCATGCTTTGTCAAACTTTTAGACCCAAAGTCTTTGACTATATTTTCTTTTGTCAAGAATGCCAAATCAGCAAAAGGACAATGAAGAAAACAAGAGCAAAAAATTGGAGGATGAATAGCACTCTATTGAAAAAGGTGTGGGTATTGGCCCAGACCAGAGATGAAATCAGGAAGTTTCTAGAAGCCAATGAGAATGAAAATACGACATACCAAAACCTTTGGGACACAGCAAAGGCATTTATCAGAAGAAGGCTGATAGCAATACATGCACACATGAAAAAGGTAGAGAAACTTATGGTTGATATAGTGATACAAAACTTATACCAAATAGAGCACAGTCAACAGAACAAAGCAAAAGGAAAGAAATAATAAAAATCAGAGCTTAGATAAAAGAGAGGAAAAACAAGAACATTATGGGGAAAAATTGATGTAGCTAAAAGTTGATTCTTTGAAAGGATTCACAGAATTGATAGAATGCTGGCAGGCCTAACCAAAGAAAACAAGGAACAAATTTCAATAGCAAGGGTGAGGGATGAAACAGGGGACATTACAACGGACCCTAATGAAATAAAAAGGACAATTAGAAAGTAGTATGAAGGTCTGTGCTCTAAAAATTTCTACAACTTGAAAGACATGGACAAATACTTGGAAAAACAATCCCTCCCTAGACTACCCCAGATGGACGTCAAGAACCTCAACAGACCCATAACAATAGAAGAAATAGACAAAGTTATCAAGGGATTAAGAACAAGAAATCACCCAGGTCAGATGGCTTCGTGGGAGAATTCTACCAAGTGTTAAGAGAAGAACTGACACCAGTCCTACACAAACTCTTCCAGAACATAGAAAAAGATAGAAAAACTCCCAAAATCTTTCTATAAAGCTTGTATAACTCTAATACCTAATGCAGGCAAGGATCCCACAAGAACTGAAAATTATAGACCAATATCCCTAATGAACATCAAGGCAAAAATCATTAATGAAATACTGGCCAATGGAATACAAAAGCATATAAAACAAATAATTCACCATGACTATGTGGGATTCATACCAGGGATGCAGGGATGGTTCAACATATGAAGGACCATTAGTATTATTTGCCACATTGATGTGAAAAATTTTAAGAACCACATGATAATATCAATAGATGCGGAAAAACATTTGACAACATCCAACACCCATTCCTGTTTAAGACACTCAAGAAGATAGAAATGGATGGAAAATTCCTCAATATTATATAAGCTATACATGAAAAACCAACAGCCAATGTGGTAATCGATGGAGAAAAAATGAAAACAATTCCACTGAAAAGGGGGACCAGACAAGAATGCCCCTTGTCCCACTTCTATTTAACATTGTACTAGAGGTCCCAGTTAACATAAGACAAAGAAAAGAATTCAAAGGTATTCGTCAGGAGAAGGAAGGGGCAAAACTATCGTTATTCACAGATTATATGCTTTTATATATTGAAACTCCCCAAAACTCCACAAGTAGAGTGTTGGAAGCAATAGAGGAATATGGCAGAGTGGCAGGATACAAGATCAACAAAGAGAAGTCCATCAGACTGTTATACACAACAGACAATATCACAGAAGAGATGATTAAAAAGGTAATGCCATTTACAATAGCCAAGTACAAGTTGAAATATCTAGGGATATACCTGACTAAAAAACAAAAGACATGTATGAGGAAAACTACAGAACACTATTACAAGAAACCAAGAGTGACCTCAACAAATGGAAGATTATCCCACGCTTGTGAATTGGAAGAATCAATAAAGCAAAGATGTCAGTTCTGCCCAAGGCACTGTACAAATTTAATGCTATCCTGATAAGAAATACCATCATTCTTCAAAGAATTGGAAAAACTGATTACCAACTTCATATGAAGAGGGAAGAAGCCCCAAATTAGCAAGAACACCTCAAAATGAACAAAGTGGGAGGGCTTGCTCTGTTTGAATTAAGCACATATTATACAACCATAGTGGTCAAAACAGGGTGGTACTGGTATAAAGACAGATATTCAGACCAATGGAAAAGAGCTGAAAACCCAGAAATAAAAACATCAGCATACAGACAACTGATTTTTGATAAGGGCCCAAACATATAAAATGGGAAGCAAATGCCCTCTTCAATAAGTGGTGCCAGAAAAAATTGGATATCCACCTGCAAAAAAAAAAAAAGAAGCAAAATCTTTACTTCACTCC